TTTTTAAAGAAACCTTAAGAGCTAGAGCTTAGATATTTGGCATGAAAAACGTCTTCTAGTGAATGTCTACCAAGTTTGTTCAAATAAAAGCCCTGGGGTCAAAATTGACCCCACCCCAGGGGGTCATAGATTTTCCCTATATGCATATAGTAAAAACTTAAAAAATCTTCTTTTAAAGAACCCAAAGAGCTAGAGCTAAGATATTTAGCATGGAACATCTTCTAATGAGTGTCTACCAAGTTTGTTCAAATAAAAGCCCTGGGGTCAAAATTGGCCCGCCCCAAAAACTTAAAAAATCTTCTTTAAAAGAACTCAAAGAGCTAGAGCTAAGATATTTAGCATGAAACATGTTCTAATGGGTATCTACCAAGTATGTTCAAATAAAAGCCCTGGGGTCAAAACTGGCCCCGCCCGGGGGGGTCATTGATTTTCCTTATATGTGTATAGCAAAAACTTAAAAATCTTCTTTGAAAAAACCCAAATAGCTAGAGTTTAGATATTAAGCATGAAACGTCTTTAAGTAAATATCTACAAAGTTTGTTCAAATAAAAGCCCGGGGGTCAAAACTGGCCCTGCCCCAGGGGTGTCATTGTTTTTAACTATATGTGTATAGTAAAAACTTTAAAAATCTTCTTTTAAAAAACCCAATGAGCTAGAACTTAGATGTTTAGCATGAAACATCTTCTTATGGGTGTCTAGCAAGTCTGTTCAAATAAACAAATAAAAGCCCTTGGGTAAAAAATTGGCCTGGGGGTGGGGGGGGGCCTATATACAGGTGAGCGACCTCAGGGCCATCATGGCCCTCTTGTTTATTTCTTGGTGTATTGTCTTCATACTTGGCCACAACAACCCTTGGGACAAGACCTTTCAGTAGACCACACTAACCTTGACCTTCATCCATAAATGACCTTGACCTTCAAGGTTAAAAGTCCAATTTTTACTTGTTCATGCTGTTATTGGCTGTAACTTTGTTATTTTTGAATGGATTGTCTTCAAACTTGAACATAATAATCTTTAAGGATATCCCTTAAAAATAACCAGCCAGACCTTGACCTTCACTCATAAATGACCTTGACTTTGAAGGTCAAATTATTGAAATTTTCATTTTTTTGGCTTTTATTGGCTGTAACTTTGTTATTTTTGAATGGATTGTCTTGAAACTTGAACATAATAATCTTCAAAGATTACTGTTAAAAATATACCGAAAGATCTTGACCTTCACTCATTAATGACATTGTCTTTGAAGATCAAATTATTGAAATTTTCATTGTTTTGGCGGTAACTGACTGTAACTTTGCTATTATTGAAGGGATCAACTTCATATTATAAGAGAACATTCTTAAGGACCAGACCTTGTTGTTTATCAAACCCAAATTTGCTTGGGCTCTTTAATGACCTTGACCTTGAAGGTTAAATTACTGAATTTTCTCAGATTTGTGCATTAAATGACCATAATTATATATTTATTGGTGTGTGTGTGTGTGTGTGTGTGTGTGTGTGTGTGTGTGTGTCTATATATATATATATATATTTACAACAACAACAACTAGAATTGCGTCATTGTTTCTATTTATAGAATTGCGTCATTGTTTCTATTTATAGAATTGGGTCATTGTTTCTATTTATAGAATTGTGTCATTCTTTCTATTTATATAAATTGCATCATTCTTTCTCTTTTTAGAAATTGCGTCATTGTTTCTATTTTTAGAAATTGCGTCATTGTTGCTATTTTTAGAAATTGCGTCATTGTTTCTATTTTTAGAAATTGTGTCATTGTTTCTATTTTTTTAGAAATTGCTGCTATTTTTAGAAATTGCGTCATTTTTTCTATTTTTAGAAATTGCGTCATTTTTTGCTATTTTTAGAAATTTGCTTCATTTTTTCTATTTTTAGAAATTGCGTCATTTTTTCTATTTTTAGAAATTGCGTCATTTTTTCTATTTTTAGAAATTGCGTCATTGTTGCTATTTTTAGAAATTGCGTCATTGTTTCTATTTTTAGAAATTGCATCATTGTTGCTATTTTTAGAAATTGCGTCATTGTTGCTATTTTTAGAAATTGCGTCATTGTAGCTATTTTTAGAAATTGCGTCATTTTTTCTATTTTTAGAAATTGCGTCATTGTTGCTATTTTTAGAAATTGCGTCATTGTTGCTATTTTTTGAAATTGCGTCATGTTGCTATTTTTAGAAATTGCGTCATGTTGCTATTTTAAGAAATTGCGTAATGTTGCTATTTTTAGAAATTTGCTTAATGTTTCTATTCATATATATATACAAAATATATAAACAAAACTTATGTGACAAGACAGACCAACTAAATTTATAAAAAGGAAACATTAAGATATGTTCAAACCTTTCTATGTTTGCGTTTAGAAAAAGTAAAAAGTCGAGCGTTGCCCCCGCCCGGCGGTGGCTCTTGTTATATAGGTATCATCAATAGAAATGATAGAGCCATGCAAATAAAATGTCACTGTTGAGTCACACACTTACAATGATCGATGAAAAAGTTACCTACTGGACACAAAATATACCCTGTAGCAGATCATACCTTGTTCCCTGCGGTCTGAAGACCGCAGGGTATTGGTACGCGTTTAACTTTTGAGGCATGGAGGAGCACGTGACCTGTTTTCGGTACATGGAGGATCATGTGATCTGTAAATCGTACATGATTGGTTAATTGACCTTTTCGAAAACCTAGCTAAATAACGTTTGCCGGTACGTTACGGATTTACCTCTAGGGAATTAGTCCAAATTACACCTAATTAACAACAAAAAACTATTACGTGATATTTCTAATTTTCTATAATTATTTTACCGTTTAAGGTGGAAAAACTTGAATGATGTGTTTGAAAATTATCAATGTTTCTTTATAACTATCTCAAATTTTACAAACAATAAATTGTTTATACTGAAAATCTACAAAATTAAAATATTCGTAGTGGCATCTGCCATACTAAATAGAGATATTTTCTGCGTAAACTTGTGTGTTTACTTTACTTTTTTTGCTCTGAATTATTCATAAAATGGTATTTTATCATTTTCTTAAAAAGAAATAATTGTTTTATGTTCGACCTTCTCCGGTCTCAGGTCTTTAACGGTCACCAGTTTCCAAAGACCTTCTTCTATATTGATTGATTATTGTCAACTATATTCCTGATACAAACGTTTATTTATTCCCCAACTATGTTGAAAATAGTTAAATGAAATATCTTTATATCATTAAAAATGATCCCCGCAGGAAACCATTTTACTTGTATTGTTTTTGAATTTGTCACATTTTGTGGCTTTGAAAGAGTGATAACTAGATAAGTATACAAATGTATTTCTGTTGATAACTAGATAAGTATACAAATGTATTTCTGTTGACACATACACAGGTGTTATTTGATTATATTTCTTCAATGAATTTATTACTTGCATGTGCAGGTATAGCATTGATCAAGATTTTGCACTGAAAGTCCAGATCCATACCTCAATCTTTTGAAATAGCACAATTGTGTGCTTCATGTAAAACTTCACTTAGACAGGGTATGTTAGTAACACTGTTACAGTGTTAATTTAGAAGAACCTTTAAACAATAAATACCTTCTTAAACAGCTCTACAAATTTTGATGTAGCATGACTTGAACATTACTTGGGTGGCTTTATGCAGATATAGCTGAAGTCGTTTTGGTCGCCGCAAAAAATTGCAGTCCGAGCTAAAAAAGAAATAAGCTTGCCTGCTAGTGCCAAGTTGAACCATTTCTAAATCAACATCTAGTGATCAGCATGGCAGAGTTTATTTAAACTTGTGATCTTTTTACAATATAAGATTAGAAAATATTATTTTTGTCAAACATTGATTATGGTATGCATTATAAGATGAATAACTAAGAAAAATGACACCTTCCTGATAAAGTGGATGGATTTTATGAAACTTGACAATAATAATTGGTTGTTTTGGGCTTTTTAGTGAGGAATAGTTTCATGAAGATGTGCAAACTAGGCTCATGATGGCCCTTCAGTTATTTGTTTCACTTATTTACTGAGCATTTTGTACTTGCAGGTGCATTTGTATTCCAGTACAAATTGTTCAGAGTTTAAAACATGCAAAGAGACTATCAAAGGAAGAAACCCTCTATGTGGATGGTGTTTCTTTGGAAAAAAGTAAGTTTTTATATGCCTGTCTGTTAGCAATTTGGTTTCCGAACATAACTTAAGTTCTATTTGGCCCACAATATTCAAACTACATAGAATGATTGTCCATATTGGGTAAAAGACCCCTATTGATTTTGGGGTCACAGTGTCAAAGGTCAAGGTCACAATTTCCTTGAAACTGAAAACAGTTTCCGGAGCATAACTTAAGTTCCATTTAGCCCACAATATTCAAACTTCATAGGATGATTGTCCATATTGGGTGGAAGACCCCTATTGATTTTGGGGTCACAAGGTCAAGGTCACTATTACCTTAAAACTGAAAATATTTAGTAGAAGACTCCTATTAATTTTTAGTCACAAGGTCAAAGGTCAAGGTCATTATTACCTTAAAACTGAAAACAGTTTTCCCTCAATAACTTAAGTATTAATCAACCTACAGCTGTAAAATTTTAAAGAGGGGAACATCCATGTCCAATACATGACCCCTATTGATTTTAGGGTCATAAGATCAAAGGTCAGGTTCACAATGACCTTAACACTGAAAATTGTGCCTTCTGGAGCATTATACAAGTTCCATTTGGCTTTAATAGGATGGTTGCCTATATATGATAAAAGATCCATATCTTTATTGGGGTCACAAAGTTAAAGGTCAATATCAAATGACCTTAATATTGTTATAATGGTAATATAGCTGTCAAACTTCATAGGATGATCACTTATTTTGAGTACATTAATTATATGCCCTAAAAAATTTGCTTATTATGCCCCCTTCAAAGAAGGGGGTTTATTGCTTTGCATTTGTCTGTCCGTCGGTCCGGAGACCAAATTGTTTCCGAGTGATAACTAAAGAACGCTTTGGCCTAGGAACTTCAAACTTAGTATGATGATTGTTCTTGATGATTGTTTATGACCAGCAGATGACTCCTATTGATTTTGGGGTCAAAGGTCAATATCACAATTACCTTGTAGGTAAAAACGGTTTCTGATCAATAACTAAAGAACACCTGGGCCTAGGAACTTCAAACTTGGTTTGATGATTGTTCATGACCAGCAGATGACCCCTATTGATTTTGGGGTCAAGGGGTCAAAGGTCAAGGTCACATTGACCTTGTAGGTAAAAACGGTTTCCGATCAATAACTAAAGAACGCTTAGGCCTAGGAACTTCAAACTTGGTTTGATGATTGTTCATGACCAGCAGATGACCCCTATTGATTTTGGGGTCAAGGGGTCAAAGGTCAAGGTCACATTGACCTTGTAGGTAAAAACGGTTTCTGATCAATAACTAAAGAACGCTAAGGCCTAGGAACTTCAAACTTGGTTTGATGATTGTTCATGACTAGCAGATGGCCCCTATTGATTTTGGGGTCAAGGGGTCAAAGATCAAGGTCACATTGACCTTGTATATAAAAACAGTTTCCGATCAATAACAAAAGAATGCTTAGGCCTAGAAACTTCAAACTTGGTATGATGATTGTTCATGACCAGCAGATGACCCCTATTGATTTTGGGGTCAAGGGGTCAAAGGTGAAGGTCACATTTACCTTGTATATAGAAACACTTTCTGATCAATATCCAAACTCATGGGCCCCTTTACCTTCAAACTTCACAGGTGCATTGATCTTGGCCAGTAGATAACCCCTATTGATTTAAGGGTCAAAGGTCAATATCATATTGACCTTGTATGTAAAGACTGTTTCTGACCAATAACTCAACAACTCAAGTTGCCTTGGTTGATATTTTTTTATTAAACTAAAAATCTTTTTTGTGTACACATGTCAAGGTTTTATGTAATATACTGTAAAATCATTATTATTCGTCGGGCACGAATTTTCGTGGTTTTCGTGGGTAGGTCAATCCACGAATTTAAGATCCGAGGAAATTTTACAAATATTTCTTGCCATGTCTCTATTCTATATATTACAAACATGCATTGGGGCTTTTCCTCCGATTTTTGTGTAATGAATGCCCAGAGGCAAGGATTAAATTTACTGACAAGCGCTGTGTGATACATAAAGATATGTGCATGTGGTAAGTAAAATGCGCTGCGATTAAGTGTAAGATTACTTAGGTTATTTGGGGCGTCTGGCCGAGTGGTTAAGATCGTTGACTTCAAACCACTTGCCCCTCACTGCTGTGGGTTCGATTCCCACAGGGACTTTGGATTCTTTTATGTGAGGAAGCTATCCAGCTAGCTTACGGAACGTCAGTGGTTCTACTCAGGTGCCCGTTCATGCCTGAAAAAATGCACGGAGGGGCACCTGAGGTTTTCCTCCACCAGTAAAGCTGGAATGTCGCCAAATGACCTATACTGTGTTGGTGTGACGTAAAACCCAAATCAAACAAACAAACAAACTTAGGTTATTTCTTTATTTTTTTTTTACAAGAAATTGAAAATCCACGAATTTAAGAACCCACGAAAATGCCAATTTTGATAAAACCACGAAATTTCATGCCCATGAATATAAGTGAATTTGCAGTATATATATATGTGAAGGTTTTTCAGCTATAAAGGAGAGTTGCTTTTTATGCCCCCACAATGTGGGAGCATATAGCGTTGCACTTGTCCGTCCGTCCGTCCGTCCGTCCGTCAGTCCGTCCGTCCGTCCGTCCGTCCGTCCCGAAATCTTGTGAACGCAACTCCTCTTAAACTGGATGGCAGATTTTGCTTAAACTTACAGGGATGAACAGCCTTAATGTGTAGATGGTAGTAAAGGAAGGAATTTTCGCTGCAACCAAATTTAACAGAATTATGGCCCTTTGTTGATTTTTTCACTATATACTATGTAGAAATTTTGTGAACTTAACTCCTCTTAAACCGGATGGCAGATTTTGCTTAAACTTACAGGGATGAACAACCTTATTGTGTAGATGGTAGTAAAGGAAGGAATTTTTGCTGCAACCAAATTTAACAGAATTATGGCCCTTTGTTGATTTTTTCACTATATACTACAGAGCAACAGATAAGCTTTTAAAGTGAATTGGGTATTACTCCATCATTTCCTTTGGAATTGGGTATTTGCTCCATTTAATTGGGTATTCCAAAACTCAATACCCTATGATTTCAAGATCAATTGGGTATTCAATTATGAAGATATGAATTTTATGGTTTCAATATCAATAAAATTTAAACTTTTTTAAAAAGAAAATAGGATTAACAATTTACTAGAACTTGTAACAATTGTTTTATATTTTATATAAAATGCTCATGTTATATTTCATAATATTTTAACAAGTTTTGTTTTCTGACTGATTTTTGATTATTTACGACTGTTTTGTTTTAAATCATTTTCCCTTTTGTATGACGCCATAATGCTTTCAAAGCGTCTATAGATACAGCTGGGACCTACTTATTGACGGTCTCCGCAAAATCAACTGTCTCTGCCGGTCTGTAAAGACCGTCTGCCTGAGTAGACAAATCGACAGTCTCATGTTTAGCTCACCTTGCACAAAGTGCAGGTGAGCTTTTAGGATGGCCAACTAAATGGCGTTCGTCCACATTTGATTTTATTCGGACGACATCTTCTACAATACCACTGGGCCAATATTAATGAAACTTGGCAGGAATACTCATTGTATGAAGCTCTATCAAGATTGTTCAAAGAATGCCATTCCATGGTAAACTCTGGTTGCTATGGCAACTAAAAGAAAAAACTTAAAAGTTCTTATACTTCAAAATGGAAAGGGCTAGAGCTTAGATATTTCTCACAAGGCATAAGCTTGTTAGTTCCTACAAAGTATATTCAAATTATGGTCTAAGGCTGAAAATTGGTCTCTATTTTGGGAGTTAAAGAGTTTTTTTATTGCAAGGTTATATAGACTTTCTTTGTAGGGATAAATTGAGACAGTGTATCTTGTATTATTTGTCTCAACAGACATTGTTATGAAGATTTTTCTTTTAAAGCATAAGAAGGATGAAAAGTTTGTTGAATGTGAATGTTAATTCAAAACAGAGTCGATCAGATTAGCACAAATTTGAGAGCTACAGTGAAGTTGATTTCCCCATTTAATAATGGATTTTTCCATAAATTTCGTAATATCATCAGAAAGGAAGACTGTGTCATTTCCGAAATAAATTGCAAGGTATTTTGGTTCTTGACATTGACTTGCACATTTTATTTGTAAGATATTGCACAAAGAAACGAAAGTGAACAAAAAGTGTTGTATTTTTTTCACAAAAAAATAGCTTATTAAGATAACAGTTTAAGTTACAGTGCGGATATTACTTAAATGCTTCCTTCCGGTTTGCGGAAAAAATCATATATTTTTGTGTACACCGGTCTTACTGAATCTGCTGAACGATTTATGACATAATATTTTATTCTGATTATAAACATACAATTCAAATCATTAAATAATAGATATCAATCAGTCCTGAGTCTTAGAAAACATCTGTATCAATCTGACCTATAAACTAAACTAATTGGATTACGGGAATTAGGACAAAATGGCGACCTTGAACAAGGAAATTGAGAAATTTTGTAACATAAACTCGTATTTCAAAACAAAGAAGTGAAGATGAATACAATTATCGGTGTGCTTCGTTGAAACAGGTATTTTGTTAACTATTTGTGAAGTATTAAGGGATGACATTTAGTATTTATGTAAATATCACCTCCCGTGATATGATTTCTAAAATTATACAATGTTTTCGGCGATCTCCAAGGTCATTTTTCTGAATGACGCAAATCCGATGAGAAATCGGGAAGGGTGTGTGTGCATGCCTCACTAATTAGCGTGCGTAAATTGCTTGATAGTTCTTGATATATATTTTAAAATAAATTTGTCCATCTCAGACCCGTTTGTATACGAATCAAAAACAATGGAAAAGAGTCAACTCAGCCCTATACCAACTCGGCATGGGTCAACTCGGCCCACTTTACAAAAATATATAGACCTATAAGGTATTTACTTTGCTTTGCATGTTGCTAAGGTAAATGAATAATAAGAAATATCTTATTATTATTATATAATTATACATTGTACCTCTGCTGAAATAAAGTATATTTAG